TTAATTAACAAACTGCGGTACGCTGATGTAGAACCGACAAAGACAACAGAGACCGGAATGACCATTTCTGGCTTATAAGGCATCAGCCAGGCATACTCCAGAAGTACGTATTATGCATTCGGGCACTCGCGGTAAGGGACGTTTTCACCTTGTACACACTGTCACAGAGTCGAGCCTCGCAAGTGACGACGCGAATTTGTCTATTGTGAGGTTAACGCGCGTTGCATCGATCTTTAACAGAAATGTTGTCTAGAGCGCAAGGTTTGAAATAACTAGTAATCATTTGAATCAGTGCAGCAATCAATCAACGACAGTATCACTGGTTATCATGTTGCCTCCATCACAGGAAAAGGAAGTCTGGAGCACTGCTCAGGCAACTTAGTTCTAAAAATCTGGACCTGTTCTAATCAAAATAGCTCGGTAGGAGACTTGAAAGCGGTGGCAAGTTGCGTGGCTGGTGCGCGGAAATTAAATTAGTGTGCATGGAGGCGGTGCCATTTGGTGTCAGACTTGCCGTCAGTGTGTCACCCAACTAGAAAACGAATGAAGCCAGATCGAAGAAAAATAAAAAGACGGAGTAAGTTGCATTTGAAATATACCAGGTAGGCAGGCACTATATAACCAACAGGAAAAAAGACAAGTTGAGTGGATATATAACGGGTATTTCCATAGTAACTGTACAGGTAACTTCTAAAATGCAAGCAGGAAATGAATAAGGAGGATGGTATGGTTCTGTGATGAAAAATAGGTGCATTATTGTGAGGGTTCATAATTCTGATATTTGTGTTGGGAGTAAATGGTAAAATTGAGTGATTATTTTTGTTTTATGACAAAAAGGTCATGAAAACCTAAAGGCACATTGCCTTCATGCATAATCCCTACGCTAGGAGATCGAACTCTTTCAAGGCTGCTCATAAGAAGCACAATTTCCCCCGAGGCCTCATTGTCCGACTGTTCATGAAATTCAGGATGGCAAAATACTCTTGATTCTTGTCTTTTAAACGACAACAGTATAAGGCCGACGAAATCGAGCCCGAGAACTACCTTGTACCATTTCCACAGACCGGCAGGCGTATTTGCTGCAATAAACTGGGTCTATCCATAGCTTTTCCTTCCATTAACGAATACAGTTCTGAGCATTGAATTATGCTGTATCTTCTGAGTCAATTTTGCTTATCGCCCCCAGCCTTTTAAATGAATTCAAACTCTAATCAGATAGGCTGAACATCATCACTTCAAGCGTACATAACTTTGCACGGAATCTACGACTTGGAACGTGGTAGAGCACCTTTTGAGGAGGCGCACCACGGGCTAATTCTCGCCTGAGTATTCCTACGTCGACAAGTCTGACTTAACGTGAACCAACCGCAAAGCAAGCAAGTAACGATTCATTCGCAGGGGTGACAGCTTTGGCTGCGAAAGCTCCATCAAGAATCTTAGAGTTTAGAATTTTCTTCCTATCTCATTGTGAACGTAACGACTGTTATGAAATTGCCACGAATTTCTAGGGCCACCCGTCCAAAAACCGCTCGATTGAATTTCTAAATGAGAATTAAACAGAAAGGCGGAAAAATAAGAATGTATTGCCGTATGCTAACAGCATATTCAAGGCCAAAAATGAGTATACGCGTATTTACAAGGCCGGACTACCATTGGACCAATCAGATAGTTTCCTTGAGGGGCTGGCATGCCGACTAGCCTTCTGACTCATCCGATTGGTTGGATAGAGCTGCAATGTTGCCGGAAGCTTGCGCGATATCACATTGCGCATGGCCCATGGGCGGATCGATAATGCATCGTGGGAACGAGTCGCTAGGGTGGCGATTAGGGCGGTTCCTGACACTCACTTTTTCGCAGCGTCTAGACTCTAAATAGCTAACTAGTCAAATATTTCCGCATATATTATGCCAAGGCGTGGAAAAGCCAGGTATATGTGAACATAAATAGGTTCGGGGAAGGACATTTTTTCCAGGAAAAAGATCATTTTAAACATTTAACAAGCGTTGGCCTCCAAATACTAAGGGGAAATAATTGCAGTTAACTAACGTTTTAAAAGCATCGGTGGTTCATGATCGCATTCTATACCACCAGGGAGCAACCATTCTACGTTGACCTAGTTTATGGCTTGGAATTAACATTCCGGTCAAATACATTACCCCACTTAACCACTAGGGAACTGGTGAGTTATACGAGCGAGGGAATCTAGCTGGGTGTGCTCGCACTTCCAAAAAAGTACCACCGCCTATTGTCTCAATCAAATTTTCCCCTAAGTCAGACTGCAAGTTTTTGTGGTTGTCGACGAACGCAGGAATCCTGAGGCCTAAATCTGACGTACCTGCTCGATGAAGTGCATTTGCCTTGAAATAGTCTTCCTCTGCTCCTCGGCGTGTTTGTCCAGCTGAGACTTGTAGAGTTCATTTTCGGCCCGTAGGGTATCCGCTTCCTCCTGCAGGCGCCTTCAGGGAAAAAAAGAGTCAACTGACGTATTTCCAAGAGGTTTGCCAGAATGGGATTCATACACAAGACTTGCTACCACACTGATTTAAGTAGGCGTTTTCCGGTTGAGTTATTCCTTGGGTTATAGGCCTCAGCCGTATAACCCCTATTTCCATTAAGGATAGTTTACTGCCACCAACACAACAACCCAAACCCCGAAGAATCCTATAATACGGGACCGTTTATAATACGGCTTATGTGGGTGGGACTTTACGGAGGCGCAGGAGAGCAAATAAAAGAAATATAGCATACAAAAATGGAAATAGTAGATAACATTATTATTATAAGCTAATGTATACAATGAACAAGCCTATGAGAATTGAAAAATAAACAAAAAGCAATTTGCGATAATGTGTGAGCCGTGATTCCAATAATTCGTACGATGCCTGTTAAATCTGCTCTCGTTCAGTTATATTGGATTTTTCGGCGTTCCATTAAGGTTTTTTCTCCTAGAAAAGGTACATTTTAGGAGTAGACTTGCTGGTGGTAAGTAAACCAATCAATCACAGTGTTTGGGTATCTACCAGTCAGCTTTGACACTGCTTCCAGTGGCATTCTGTTGCTCCAGGGATAAGCAGTTATTACATTTCACAATAAAGGAAGAATTTGTCTTCCCTTCTCACTGATCGAACAGCTTGGCAATCCTTTATTCTGCACCTCCAAACTTGCACACACTGTCCACGGACCTGTTGTGACCCAACTCCGAGTACACTCGCACTCACGACTGGTAGCAAGTACATGCGCACTTGTATATGTCCAATCCAATCCGTTCTGACCAATCACCTTCATGACTGAGGCACACAGGAACTCGCTGTGAGTTCTGCCACTC